CCCAGCTGTAAAATGGGTACCCGCGAGGATGTGCTGGCAATGTGAGTGTTTAGTTCATTGCGCCTAACAGGCAGCATGACTGTATGATCCCCAGGGAGTTTAAAAAGTAATGTACGTAGCACCGTGAGCAGGCAATGTGCCTGGATATAAGCGCCATACAAGCGGAATATTACTATTACTAATAACTTAATAACAAACTGTTTTCAAGGAATTATAACACCAGTTGACTTATATACTTTGATGGCCATGTGTGCTACTGTCATCGTAACGATACATCTACAGGACTAAGAGGCACCGTCGATAACGATCTGTTGGTTATGAAATCATTCTTATTTGAAAACTATTCAAAATTTATGAAACAGTTCTATTTCTTTCAAAGCACCAAGTATCAAATGAACACTGACCTTATCATAAAGATTATTTTGGGGAGATAATAGATACTCCTTGTGAGAGGCAAAAACGTGCTTGACTGCGTTTCCCTAATGGGACACAGACTGGGTTATCTTCATCTTTTCCCTTCATCTTTTCAGCAATTATTCATCAGTAAAACGTGCGTGGCCAATTCGTCTCATAACCACTACAACAAACTATCCACAGGGCTGTATGATTTCAAAAGCGATGGTTTCATTTTTTCAATAATCAACTTTTCCTTCAATATTGGGGCAACTCAAATTTTACATTTCGCAACTTTTGAGATACGGTCGAGCATGTCCCTTTCACCAACATTTCCAATTCTTCAGTTCCTCAGGTGTTCTATAGGTTACAGTATCCAAGGACTCAGAAAACGATTTAAAACATATGGTAGACGTGTAGAGGACATTCAAAATTTGATACATCCGGGGACAACTAAGAATATTGGAGCACTCAATGCTCCAAGGAGGTGACGAAATCGATCCAGGGGTTAAGCTAATTGTCTGTCATCGTATTCCAATAGCCTGGATTTGGTGTTTGTTATGTCAAGCACTGGTTTGTTTTGACCAGACGCAATACGTTACAAATAACCGCCATGCATCTGGTTTATTGATGAGTGCGGCATTACACAAAAAACACTTGCGTGCTTGCTTGCTTGCTTGCTTGCTTGCTTGCTTACTTGTTTAACGCCGTGCTGTATAAAGCCGGGGGGTAGCTCTCTGATCCCATGTCACCAGCTACTCAACTGCAAAGCACAGACAGTGTACACTGTAGTTTATAATATTGGCCTCCACTGACCCTTCGTTTCTATCTGGGCCGATCTCTGGCTTTGTCAGTGCAGAGGGAAAACTATTACCTCCCTTTCAAGCCCTAATGTAAATCGATTAGCGTTTACAATTCTACAGGAGATAGGAATTCAAATGCCGCACTCCAGCCGTTATAGGCTTATGAATGAATGAATGAGTGAGTGAGTTTAGTTTTACGACGCACTCAGCTATATGGCGGCGGTCTGTAAATGACCGAGTCTGGACCACACAATCCAGTTATGAACAGCACGAGCATCGATCTACGCATTTGTGATACGATGACATGTGTCAACCAAGTCAGTGAATCTGACCACCCGATCCCGTTAGTCGCCTCTTACGACAAGCGTGGGTTGATGAAGACCAGCAGTGTGAACCTTGGGCCCCATACATGATAACAGCAGTGTGAACCTTGGACCCTTTTATGATAACAGCAGTGTGAACCTGGGTCCCGTACATGATAACAGCAGTGTGAATCTGGGGCCTCTTTTATGATAACAGCAGTGTGAACCTGGGCCCCGTACATGATAACAGCAGTGTGAATCTGGGGCCCCATACATGATAACAGCAGTGTGAACCTTGGACCCTTTTATGATAACAGCAGTGTGAACCTGGGCCCCGTACATGATAACACCAGTGTGAACCTTGGATCCCCTTTTATGATAACAGCAGTGTGAACCTGGGCCTCGTACATGATAATAGCAGTGTGAACCTGGGACTCGTACATGTGACAGCAATGTGAACCTTGGACCCCTTTCATGATAACAGCAGTGTGAACCTGGGGCCCCGTTGTGATGATATTATGAACTCAGAGAAGAATTCTTGATAATGATAACACAGCGAACTTGGGGCAGAATTGCGTGTGACAGCACAGTAGAACTAGGCTCGAGTTTAGAGCTAGCATAGGGCAGTGTTCATGATCTCAGCACTCAGAGTCTTTTTGCCAAGTTCATGCTGTCAGCGCCGAGAACTTTTTGTCGAGTTTATTATGTCAGAGCCGAGAACCCTTTGCCGAATTCATTATGTCGGCGCCGAGAACCTTTTGTTGAGTTTATGATGTCGGCACCGAGAACCTTTTGTCGGGTTCATTATGTCGGCGCCTAGAACCTTTTGTTGAGTTCATGATGTCGGCGCCTAGAACCTTTTGTTGAGTTCATGATGTCGGCGCCTAGAACCTTTTGTCGAGTTCATGATGTCGGCGCCGAGAACCTTCTGTTGAGTTCATGATGTCAGCGCCGAGAACCTTTGGTCGAGTTTATTATGTCGGCGCCGAGAACCTTTTGCCGAGTTCATTATGTCGGTGCTAAGAACCTTTTGTTCATGATGTCGGCACCGAGAACCTTGTGCCGAGTTCATGATGTTATCACTTTGAACCTAGTGCCGAGTCTATGATATCGGCACTGAGAACCTTTTGTCAAGTTTACGATGTCAGTTGTGTTCTCAGTTAAGAAAAACAAATATTTAATTTAACATTATTATGATAGATATTCCTACAACACATTTATTTATTGTAACAACCTGTAGCCCAAGCCACTAAGATACGTTCTGCTGAGTTAAAAGATATAACATTTGATAACTGCACTCAGAAAGCCACATCCCGATCATAAAAGAAGGTTTAGTGTTAACGTTTTACCGTAATGGATGAAAATGCGTCTTTAGTCTTATCATTTCTTTATTACGTTATACAATAGCTTAAATACAACCTATTAATCAAAGGCGTTAGGGTAGAGAGACTCGTTTTGAAGTAAATATATGTATTTCTCACATGTTATCGTTTTCATTCATTCCGGTTTCTCTGGTACAATGAAAAAAACATTGCTAAAGCACAATGTGAAGATCCGAGTTAGAATTGGTCTTCAGCAACCCATGCTTGTTGTAAGAGGCGACTAACGGGATCGGGTGGTCAGACTCGCTGACTTGGTTGACACATGTCATAGGTTTCCAATTGCGTAGATCGATGCTAATGCTGTTAATCACTGGATTGTCTGGTACTGACTCGATTATTTACAGGCCGTCGCCATATAGCTGGAATGTTGCTGAGTGAGGGGTTAAACAACAAATAAAAAGCATGTTATTCGGTAATTGTAATGTGATCCGTTGTACATGTATGTCCAGCCAGTGTCAGTTGGCTACCCCAACCGCCTCGGTTTAGTCCCGATTTTGACAGTCCCAAATTTGACAGTTAAATTTCACACTTCTGTAATTGATCTAGCCAGTTGTTCCAATTTTGACAGTAAGCTTACCGGTTGAATCCTTTATTGATACCGTTATTAAATATAACGTTATTGACAGAGGATTTTGAACCGAATAAGATTACGACGTAAGTTATATAGCCATGAAAATCAGAAAAGTAAATAATTGAAAATTTGTGATAACGAAAATAAAAAAACGACAAAAATCTTCCTATAGTCCTAAGAAATATCGACTAAAAGCAGATTCTATTTTACAATTCGACTATATGATGAGCACGTGTTTGCGGGTCATTATCGTGATGATACAAAGCTTTCGCGTATCCTGCCCCACCCGTCACACACACATGCAAAGTCAAAAGGAGCAATGCCGGTAGTAAATGACGATGAGGCAAAGACCTGTCACCTGAAACAATTAAATGAAGGCTCGGAAATAAATATAATCTCGTGCAAAATCAGTTCTTAAGTAAGCTCGGGGACGCTTTGTGCTCCGTGGTGTGAAATGTTTCATCTTTCTGTTCACAGCTGCCCTGAGGTGAGCATTATGATAAACCGACATTCGTTTCGAGTGCCCGATTTAGGCTTGTAAGCATGATGGTTTAATCTATGATGTGGCTGATATTTAACTAATAACTTATTGATATAGTCAGTACAGATTATTAGAGTGAATGAGTAAGTATGGTTTTACGCCGCTTTTAGCAATATTCCAGCAATACCACGGCGGGGGGACACCAGAAATGGGCTTAACATTGTACCATGTGGGGAATTGAACCCTGGTCTTCGGCGTTACTAGCGAACGCTTTAACCACTAGGCTACCCATCCACCACTTAAAACGAATGAAATTTATTGATATGTTTGACGTCTGAGTGCATGATGTATGTTTGAGTCCATGATGTATTTTTAAGTGTATGATTCATTCATTCGTTCATTCGTTCGCGTTCATTCATTCATTCATTCATTCGACCCGTAAAGGTCCGGGTTAGAATTGGCCTTCAGTAACCCAATCTTGTCCTTTAAGGCGACTAACGGGATCGTGTGGTCAGGCTCGCTGACTTGGTTGACACATGTCATCGGTTCCCGATTGCGCAGGCCGATGCTCATACTGTTGATCACTGGATTGTCTGATCCAGACTCGGTCATTTACAGACCGCCACCATATAGCTGAGTGCGTCGTAAAACTAAACTCACTCACTCATTCATTCATTCATAAGCCTATAACGGCAGGAGTGCGGCATTTGAATTCCTATCTCCTGTCGAATTGTAAACGCTAATCGATTTACATTAGGGCTTGAAAGGGAAATAATAGTTTTCTCTCTGCACTGACAAAGCCAGAGATCGGCCCAGATAGAAACGAAGGGTCAGTGGAGGCCAACATTATAAACTACAGTGTACTGTCTGTGCTTTGCAGTTGAGTAGCTGGTGACATGGGATCAGAGAGCTATCCCCCGGCTTTATACAGATCTACTGTTAATGCATGCCTCGGGGATTTCTATCAATGCGCAATCAGCAACGCAGGTTTCAACGCGCCCCGTAACTAAGGAAGCTATCGGCAAATGTCGGCGACCCTCGGCAAACAAACTTTGAGGTTGACGAGTTTATAGAGTCGGGTTGTGATTGTCGTGACTGGGATTTAATATGTGGTCGTTCCGAGTTTAGACTGATACACACACCAGGTAGGACAAACTTTAGTTATATATTTGATATGTACATTGATGTGTATATGTTAAATGTCCTCGGACCGTCCGCTGGTCGCCGTGGTCGGTATATAAGTAAATATACATGTATATCCCTCGCCCACTTGGCTAAGTAGGCACTTGACGGGTAAAGACTGTCTTAGTATAGACTGAATGAGATTCTGTCCAGGTATCTTTACTAATTATCACATTTTACACCATTATGAAACACGATAAACACACATCGGTTATTATAAGTGTATTACGTGTAAACCATATTTACAGCATACCATCTTAATCAAAGTGATATTTGTATATTATAAACGTTAACGAGTCAACAGTCTTGTCGGCACTGAATTTCTCCGTTTATGCTTTGTAAAGGTATAATAGGAAGCAATTAAACACCCGGTGTCATAAGCTTTTCACAGTGATCAATAAACTCCTGCTTATGCCTGAGTCGGTATTATAATGGTGACTGCCTTTAACAGACATTTTTTCTTATTATTGTAAAATGATTTTTGTTATGCTCTGTTTATAAATTATACATGACAATATAAGAGTTTTACAATAAAACGCAATCTGAAGAACACCATGCAGATCCTGATTTGGCAAGGTGGGTGTGGGCCGGCTTATATGGTCTACCCCTAATCCCACTATCCGCTGATTCTATGTGTTGCATATGAGCCATTTACTTGAGCCATTGGAAATGCTGATGCTGTTTGAAAACGTATTAGCGATGGGTATACTAAAAACTAAAGTAATACAAACCCATGACTATCACATTTGATCACGTTTCAAACAATAGATTGAGACACAATTGTAGTACACTAAATAAGTTTAGTTACTTGTGTGATATATGTACTGTTTTGGTTAAGAAACTACTGGGTAAATACTTTCCATACTGGAAAAAAATGCAAGAATCGTTTGCCTTTTAAAACAAATGTATCTCCAAGACTATTCCACCCTTCCTACCAAATCAGAAAAGTTGTCATATCCTTGACTTGATCATTGGTATATTCAAATGTAAACTAATATATTTTATTAAGTGTTTTATGATCCTTTTCCCAGATATTCAAGAACCACTGCAATAAACATTTGTCGTGTTGGAGGCAGTATATCGATCAATGTCACTGGCCTGTGTTAAACGCAACCTATATACAGGTACAAGCACAATCAGTTAACGTTATACTTTGTTTAACACGCAAGTGATAAACATATGATAACACATCCAATCTGGCTTGGCAGTCGTTGGTATCAACGTTCTTATTCCCACGTTATCATTGAATAAGTACACTACACAAATACACTGCTAAAAATTCCATAAACTGTATGGTATATATGTCTGTAGTCTGAAGAGAAGATTTACGACATGTGTGTATGTATTTGACTCGGTTGCTTGTTATAGAACCTATAGAGGCAAGATCAATAGATTTATGGCTTTATGGAAGCATTCACTGTCCTTACACTCGGACAATGAGCTCTCACACACAATTTGTTTCAATAGCTATAAACAACATGTATTTGGTTTCGCAGATAAGCAGAGATAGATGTGCTTCACTGAGATCCAGTATACACACACACACACACACACACTGTAAACGATCGTATATGTAAATAAACCTGTATACTATATATATTGCCCAATACAGGTTTATTTACATATACGATCGTTTACTAATATACCAATCATGACAAAATACGTTCGTAAGAAATACTTAAAAGGACACCTTTTATACGTGTGTAGATACTGTTTGACATAAACTGAATATAGTACGAAGGCGATGTACTATCTTTACGTTTGAAGGCGTATTAAAGCTTACAGGGAATACGGTGCATGGTCGATTGGAAATATGTTATGCAACTTAGTTACACTTGAATTATTATTATTATTATTATTATTATTATTTTATTTATTATTATTCATTTTATTTATATTTCAACAAAGTAATACAATCACAGAACGCGAACTGCCAAATCAGAAATACACTCTTCTATTTTGTATTGGCATTTTGGTTATGATGCATATTTATGCTTCCTCCTGTTTGTTCAACGAAACACGTACACAGAATAACACCCGTTGTTGTTTGTTTGTTTGTTTGTTTGTTTGTTTGTTGCTGAACGTGGCACTCAGCAATATTCTAAGTGGCAGGCGTTTTGGTTTGCCGATGTACTGACCCTTCAGGCAATAATGATATATCTTAACCAGTCAGAACATACAAAATAATTAACATTTATAAGTAGAGAAGAATTTGTCCTCTTTTATGGTGTTCTTACCATTAAAAGAGTAGTTGAAATAATTTTTAAAAATTAATTTCTATTTTGTGTGCGTGTATCTCTTTATTTTTTAGATTGAAGTCAGTGAGTGAGTGAGTTAAGATTTTAAGTCACATCGGCAGAATTTCAGCCAGATCGTGACTATATCAAGTTATAGATTCATAATTCCTGACTGAAAATAATACGAATTGAATCTTTTTAAAGAAAAATTTAAAATTAAATATAATCACACTTTGTTTTGTATGCCGAGTTTAGCTTCTGTAGTATGGTACGTAGACTAAAATGTCAACTCGTCCTGTTAAACCCACATCACGTCCGATGAGCAATAAACATAATACCAACGGGGAATCGAACGCGGCATACATTGCGGGACGATCGAAAGCTGATCGAACCCTTATCGCATGCACTCGCCCACCCCACGACTTGACGAAGGCCAACGGTGAGATTATATTTAGACCTCTACACGAAGCATTGCTTCATCGATAACCATAATGGATAATCCTAATCTCCGTAATCAGATAACGTACACGTGCGTAATGCATGATAATCCCTTTCAGTGTAATCCTTACATTAGAGGGCAGGGATTATTCTTTCCGAGGATTAACCTTGCAGGAATCAAAATATTGTGTTGGAAAGGATTAAAGTAGTGAGGCATATAGCTCTATAAAAATATTTAATTATTTGGATCTAAAGGGACAGTTTTGTAAAACAAAACATGTTTAGATCTGACAGGTAAAACGGCTTAGATCTGCACAACGATCCACAAAGGCTGTGGATGTGGTTTCAAAACTTTATTAAAAAGAGGTTTCGTATTCATGTGAAATATCTGATTTTGGTTAGATTGCATCTGAACAGATCATATTTCACATCAACAATTTACAGGGTGATTCGAGATGGGGGTGGGGGTGTGTGTGGGGGTGTAGGTAAGGGGGAATATTCGAACCTCCAATTATCGATATAATCTTTCACTTGGAGACATAAACTCACATTGTACAACTAGTTTTCTGTTTATTTGTAACGTATTTTCAGGCCTATTGTTGACGGCCTAATTTCTAAGATTGGGGCATTAATACTCTTTTGATGAAATATTGCATCGCTAAATTTCAATTCTTCATTTATGCTCCGGAGCGTTATATTCAGGAATTGCCATTCTGTAAAAGCTTGTTATGTACAATTTCTAACATAGTTGAAAAAGAAAATCCTTTATATTAGCACAAAAACCAGAAATCGACTTCTCGAACCCGGGTCTTCCGCGTGGACGAGCGAACCCTTGAACCACGTCGAATGACCGGGTTCGATTCCCCACTTGGGTACAATATGTGAAGCCTATTTCTGGTGTTTCCCGCCGTGATATTGCTGGAATATTGCTAAAAAAAAGCGGCGTAAAACCCAACTCACTCACTCACTTCATTCTTGCTTGACAAGGGTACATGTTCCACTCCGAAACGTCACATAATACTCAAATACAGAAGTTGCCATCCAAAAAATATTTGACTGTCACCTACCAAGGTTTAAAATACCTCGCAAACGGAAATGGTTTACCAGTATTCTGTAACTCCTTTAACCATCTTTGAACATATTTTGTGTTCATGATTGTGTTCATGATGTTGTGTTCATGATTTGTGTTCATGATGTTGTGTTCATGATGTTGTGTTCATGATTTGTGTTCATGATGTTGTGGTCATGATGATGTGTTCATGATTTGTGGTCATGATGTTGTGTTCATGATTTTTGTGTTCATGATGTTGTGTTCATGATTTTGTGTATTGTTTAACGCCGCACTAGCTATTTGACGGCGGTCCACGAATAATCTAACAATCCAGTGATCAACATGAGTGTCGATCTACGTAACTGCGATACGATATGTGTCAACCAAGTCAGCGAGCCTGACCATCCGATCCCATTAGTTGCCTCTTACGACAAACATGGCTTGCTGATGATCAGTTCTAATCCGGATCGACAAGGGCACTGTGAATTCACAATGCCTTGATAACCGTGTATTATGGATGTTCCAAGACGTACAATCCACATCTGTACAAGCTATTTCAGACCTTATTTATCTGAGGCACATTTTTCACATTCCACTTGCAACTGGATCCTGATGTATAGCCAATGCGATACGATTGCATGAGTTTAAAAATTTAAAGAAGTATTTTAAGAGGAGAATATATATATCTATTGACATACATTTGATATGTATCCAGTTTGACGAAAACGTCGATAAAAGGAGACAGTTAGCACGTATCAACATACTTCTAAATGTATTTTAGTTTCCATGGTATCAAATAAATCAACCAGAGTCTAAATAGAAAATTCACATTTTCAAACATTTTCTATGATCACGAACATATACACAAAGAACTTAACTTAGTACCCCCTGCATTTTTGCAATGATAGGTTTGCAACACGTTCATAAACCTCTCGTGGTGACCACGATGGGAAAACAGGAGTACTTCTGACCCGTATGACCCTTTGACTCAAAATGATTGGAATCCATGTTGATTTTATGATAATAATTGCTCACTTTGAAAAAAAAAAGATTTTCATACAAAACCATGTCTGTACCAGTATGGCCCTAGAATGTTTCATGTTGGATTTATTGGCGAATGTGCACATTCAAAATGTCATTTTGCGTGTCTTACAAGATTCAAGGTCAATACATAGTGTAACCTCCATGCGACTGTATGACAGCCAGCCATGTGACTGTATGACAGCCAGCACTCTCT